CTTAATTGAGCTTACAACATCTATAGAGATACTATAGATTTTTGAGTATTTATTGAAAGCCCATTATTCGATAACCACGTGATTAGCACATTAACATTAAAATCAATTGAAGACTGCAAAACATCAATGGACACATTTTCTCCTTTAAACAATATTTGTATATCATCAGCAAAAGCAAACGACATACAATTCCTACTATTAATACAACCGAACAAATCATTAACATACATTACGAACAACAGGGGGCCCAGAACAGATCCTTGAGGCACACCACTACTCACAGACAACATACCCGAAACACAATTTTTACAACTTACGTATTGCTTTCTACCAAATAAATATGAAAATACGAGTTTACACGCTGAGGTCAACAAATTAAAAAATTGATGCAGCTTACTTACTAGCATTGAGTGATTGATTCTGTCAAATGCCTTTTCAAGGTCCAGCGACAGCAACACACAACAACCATCCCCACCAACTGACTTTCTTATATTGTCAGTTAAACTAACAAGTAGGGACGTTGTACTCCGATGATGTCTAAACCCATATTGACTATCATGGAATAATGATCTCTGCTTAACATACGCAAGAATTTGCTCTTTCAAAACATGCTCAACCATTTTAGACAGTATTTACATTATCGATATCGGCCTATACTCTCTTACATCATTACTTTTACGTATAGGCACAATTTTCGCTATCTTCCAAACCTCAGGAAAAACTGACACTGCTATCATGGAATACAACAAATAACGCCCCACTAAAGGAAACACAAGTTTCAGAAACTTAAGCTGAAAACCAGCTTAACCGACAAATTCATTCTGTTACAAACATCTCTTACAACCAAACTGCGAGACAAATCAAACATGTTATTATTAAAGTCACCCATAACAATTACATTGAAATATCTTACAACAATATCAGAAATTTCATCCTCCATGGCTGGAATATTACCATGTGGTAAACACACTACACCAATTAATACAACATTGCCATTCACAATCACTTCCAAAAATATATACTCCACTATACCAAAAGAACTACCTTTACACACCAGTTTATGCTGCATAAATTGTGAAACATATAGCACAACACCTCCTCCCCTCATGTCAGGTCGATCACTTCTGTAGCACACATAACCCGGCATTGCTATTGCTTCAGACGAAATCACAGGTTTCAACCACGATTCAGTGACACCAAAAACATCAAGACTATTTCCATCTAAAATATTTCTAAGTTCATGGATTTTAAACGTATTCCTACTCAGAAATTGTAAAATTCATCAAAAATAAGAAGTCAGGCGGTGTGGATAACATTTCAAATTATTTAATTAACTCTTTGAAACCCGAATTTTTTCCGCAATCTTAGAACAAATTTTTGTTCACAGATGTTGGACTGTATACATAAATTAGTACTGTACACAAATTTACCCTCTTCACTATATTAAAAAACTCATTACTTTACCAATTTTTTTTTTTTTTTTTATATGTGTCGTCCATAATCAGGTCTTGACATATGAAATCTTGACATATGAAAGCTCTAAAACATTTTGTTGCCTGTGGGCAACATAAGGCCACAAATGGTTAAAAAACTTCCATTAAAGGTCATTGAGTATTTAACAGTTATATTTAATAATTTTATTAATAACGGTTATTTTCCCCGAGCGTAGAATATAGCTAAAATTATAAATATTCGGAAAAAAAACTGACAACATTGACATTAATAATTTAAGGCCCATTTCCTTACTTTCTAATTTGGGAAAACTCTTTGCAAGGCTCGGTATTGTCTCCCCATCTATTTAACATTTCCATTTACGATTTCCCCCATGAAGTAAATGGATCAAATGGTATACTTTATGCCGATGATTCTCTTCTCTACAGCGTGTCTCAACGCATCTTAATGCAGTAAACAATTTTTATACTGATTGGGATATCAAAATTAATGTTGCTAAAAGCCATGCTATATGTGTTCGTAATGCTTCGGGCAAATGTAAATATACGGTGGTAGCCGAAAGTAAAAAATTTGTTCTAGTTTTTGAATGGTAACAAAATTGAGTTTAAGGATAGCCTTTAATATCTAGTTGTTATTTTTGATAAAGTACTGAAATTTAACAAGCATGCTACAAATAATTTATATAAGGCTATCCGTAGGTTCGTTCGTTTACTTTCCTAGTAATATTTACTCAGTAAGAATTTGCAGAGAGTAAATACGAATTTTTCCTTCTCAAGAGAGAAAACTGCAAAAAGTAAACGAACAACATCCAGTAAAAAGATGTTTCGACACAGCTGATTAAAACAACAAACAAATTGGTGCAAACTAAAAAACAGCATTTAAAAAAAAAATCTTTCGACAATTATACTTGTTTTACCTTATTTTTAAATACTTGCGTTTTCTTCATCCATTTTGGTATTTAATGATACAAAATCAAAATAAAATTCACAAAACAATCAATTTTCTTGAGAACAATTTTTTGTTTGTTTACAAAACATAAAAAAACAGCTGATTATATATCAGCTGATGGTACAAGAAAATTCTTACTGAGTAAATTTTCCTTGTAAGAATTTGCAAATACTCAGTAACACAACTGTCAAATCTGCTCTCTCAATTCACTCTCTTTTACTGGACTTTTGGGTAAACGAACAACATTTTGTAATAATTTGTACAAATTCGTACAAATTATTGAGTAAACGAACGAACCTCGTGTTAAAGGTGCATTTTCGCCATTGTTTAATAACAAATACTTACCCAAAAAAAAAACGAAATTACTAATTTACAAAGTAACTTTAAGGCCGGTTGTCCTGTATGCCTTCGCTATTTTTGAGCGCCATGTGCTTCGAAAGCTACTTCCGCCCTCATCAGTTTTTAAGTTAGTTTTAAGTTTTATTTTATTTTTAATTTTGCGTAAAACTGCGTAACAATATACGGCAGTTCCGTCCACTTCATCCCAAATTTATTATCTGATAATCACCGAAAATTTCAGGCGTTGTCCTTGACCATAACTAGAACCTCATGGAACACTTCAAAGCGATCAGTGTGGTAATGGGTTACTAATATCTGAATACGTAAGCACCTGTAAATATTTAAGTGTAAATCTCTCATTCGAGTAGATACAACAATATAATTGGTATCAATTTAACGGAAAACCACTCCTCTAGGATATACTATCATTTTCTCGGGTACATAGGTTAAGGAGAATATTAGGGTGCGCAAAAATTCGCTCCCGAATGAATTAAAATACATAATTTTCGTTTTGGGCTCATTTTAGGAATGAATTTATGGCGACAAATTCTTTATTTTAAACAGCAACCACAATAACAACGAACGTTCGTAAATTCAATTGTTGTTGGACACTTTCTGCTACTCACACATTCATTTGCTTTTTTATATTTTTGTTTGTGGTTGTTTTTAACAGTGCTCGCGAGCATTGTTTTTTGACTTTTTAAAAAGAATGTTCGGAACAAGTTGAGTTTAGGGGTTCATCTCGGATTTTTCTTTTTTTTTAACGGAAATATATGACTTCCATGGGGGAAGTCCATAATTTCCGATATATGGACCTCTGAAGTTCCGAAATTCCTATGCTCATATTTATGGATCGATTATTATATTTATGGATCATTATTTATGGATCGATGAAGGTAATATTGGTATGGTTGCAAAGCGTACACATTATATTTTCACTTAAATTAAAGTCTTTATTAAAAATTATTAAATATAGACGGCTTTCGGCCGGAGATTTAAGGCTTTCTCCTATGGACAGGCGGGAAATTCGGCTAACGCATCAATATTTAACTAATTTTTTCTAAATAGCAGGCCTTCGGCCGTGGATGTAAGACTATCTCCTATGGAGAGGAGGAAAATTTGGCTATGCGATTAAAATGTCCTTTATATTAAAATTTTTCTTATATAGACGGCCTTCGGCCGGGGATTTAAGATTCTCCTATGGACAGATGGAAAATTCGGCTATGCGATTTTCTATTAAATAAACATGTTTCACTAAATATGAGCCAATATTAATCGGTCCATATAAATGTCGAAATTATGAGCATATGAATTCCGGAACTTCAGAGGTCCATATCTCGGGAAATATGGATTTCCCCATGAATGTCATATATTTTCGTGATCAGGGAGACGAGATCTAGGAAAATCGGAGATGAGCCCCTAAACTCAAGCCTCAACGTGGATTTTTTAAAGGTAGCAGAGAGGCTGATGGCCATTAAAAAGAATTAAGATGATGAATCCTTGGAACCTCAAAAATTGATAACAATTTTATTTGCATTACTTCTGAAACTTTGATAGGTTTTGGTGGACCAATAAAATACGTAAGGCCAAATGCGGAGAACAACCTGAAATATAAAAAGGGAACAGGAGGCAGTCCAAACAAAGAACCATTATCCCGGAACAAATGTACTTTATGGACACCTCCCAGATCATTTTTACTATAGGTAGTCCTTCTGATGGTGATTACAACTAGTTTTTTTTCGGGGGAAATCAGTAGTTCCCGAAATATGGGGATCCAAAGTTCCAAAACTATCCCCGCATTTTATTAAATATCTTTAAGAATACCACTCCGAAACGTTTACAATTTTTACTGCAGATAGAAATTTTAGTGCTGATCACAACCACATAATTTTTTCAGGTGAACTTCATACTTCCGGATATATGGATTATTAAAGTTTAAATTGATTCCGGGCTACGCGAGCAGATTTTTTTTTTAATTTGAATTTTTCTCTGAATAGCCGGCCGTAGATTTCGTATATCTCTGCTGAACCAGAAGAATGCGAGCTGAGTCTCTTAAGGCAAACAAATAAAAATAATTTTTAAAATTTTAAACACTGATACCATTCTATATTACATTTAAAGTTCCACAAACATGTTATGGACTTACCAATAAGCACAATTTGTTCCAAAATTCTAATTACTACACCATTATAAATGAAACATGTGGATTGCACAATATAAAACTGCATAGCTTTATTAAAACAGTTAAGATTCTCGTAATATTTAACGCTTTCTTAACATATTCAAACGATTCTTGCGTTTCCAGGCAGCACGGCGAGAACCACCAATAGTTTGAGAATATCTATAGCCCTTGCCAATTCCACGGGAACTCTTTCCAGCAGATGTAAGACCACGCAGTTCCCTGTGCTTATGGACATGCTTACAGATCCAATTAATTTTGGGGTCACGACGAATTGCAGAGTGATGAGTGTCAACTAGTATAACTTCAAAATATTTGTAGGATGCATCCTGTGCCACCCAATAGGAATTCAGAACTCTGAGACCGCCAAGTCTGCGACCTACACGTTCCTAATGAGACAATATATACAAATAATTATACATTGATTTCAATAAGTATTTCTTATGTTACTAAAAAGGAATCAAAAATAAATTTAAATATCCAATTGTTTTAAACAAATATTAATATACAATAGGACAATTCAACAATAACATACCTCAGCAATAGATTGTAATCCACGATATGGTTTCAATTCATTTACACCATGACTTTTGGGCTTTCCGTATGTGCAACCTTTGGGTACTGGACGCTTACGACCACCCCTGCGAACGCGGATTCTGTAAATGACGAATCCTTGCTTGGCACGATATCCCAAACGACGTGCCTTATCTGGTCGAGTTGGCCTTGGCGAACGATGCAATTTAGTGAGTTGGCGGTATTGCCACACACGAATACGGAGCAAATAGCGCATTACATCGCTTTGCTTTTTTCTGTACAACTCCTGCATATACCTGTACGCTCCCATTGTTGATGAAGACCTAGCAACAAGTAAAAAAGGTTATTTGTTTTAAATAACAGTCACATCATCGGTCTTAATTAGGAAGCATTTTTAATGTATTCTATTATAATTTTATAACGATGTCCATTGGCATGGAAAGCACCCACCTCCGACGAGATATGAAATAGAAAGGAGGAAGTTACGCGAAGTTAGCAGCAAATACCACATTCAAATTACGAACGCCATCAACTAAATAACATCACACAAGACGTCACGTTTATCGCCCTACTCACGGCGTAATATGAGCGTATCGTTACCGAATGTTTATAGAGCATTTACATACGCACTTTATATGATTTGAATTAACGTAATTTGGAAAATAAATTAAAATTATTTATTTAAAATGACTGGTAAAAATTATCCAGTAAATTATGTTGAGAGAGTTTGTTCTCTCATTTGAAAAAATTGAAAAAAAAAATTATCGAGCAACATCCAGTAAAAATCAAACATATGTGTCATAATTTTTAATAATTAATTTTATATATTTCAATTTATTGTACATTGTATATTCTTTAATACCTCCAAAACAATTAAAATATTCATATTAAGGCATTGCTTGAAAACAATAAAGGGCTAAGCAGAATGCTCGCGTTGAGCCATCCGTCGCGTTATATGTTATCGAAAATACAACAACCATAAGGAAACGATAACACAAACGCATATCGCTTCCTTGTGGTTGTTGTATTTTCGATAACATATAACGCGACGGATGGCTCCACGCGAGCATTCTGCTTAGCCCTTAAAGGGCTAAACAGAATGTTCGCGTTGAGCGTTTTTTGTTATCGCGTTAACGCACGCAAAAAGTTAAAATATATTTAACTCCGAAGCGCAGCGCAAAACAACTTCAAGCGTTTGTGTTATCGTTTCCTTGTGGTTGTTGTATTTTCGATAACATATAACGCGACGGATGGCTCAACGCGAGCATTCTGCTTAGCCCTTAATGGTGTTTTTACACGATATGTATTTTACATATGTGCTGTCACTTTATTTACATATGGAAATCGAACTCGTCATGTGAAACATACGCAAATTTCAATGTGTCAAAACGATATGCCATTACATATGTATTTTTTCCGAATGGGACGTGCTCTGTTTTCGTATGTGAAACATAAGGAAATCAGCTGTTTGAATGAAACACATTGTTGGAAGAAAATATTTCAATTGCAAGTCAAAGAAAAGGATGAGAAGGCAACAATTACAAATTATTATTTCGGGTGTAAGTGTTTAATAAAAAATGATTTTGATTTAAGAAAAAAATAAAAGTGTTTTTTGTTTATAGGTTATGTCATATTTAAAATACATACAAAAAAATGTTTTATGTACGCTGCTAATTTTGAGACACATAAGGAATTACATATGGATGAAATAAGTGACAGCACATATGTAAAATACATATCGTGTAAAAACACCATAATATATGACAACAAAACATCGACATGAAAATTCTTACTGAGTAAATTTTGCAGTAAGAATTTTCAATACTCAGTAAACAACTGCAAAAATTTCTTTCTCAACTTACTCTCATTTACTGAACTTTTAAGTTATCGAACTGCATTCAGTAACAATATGCACAAATTGTTACAAATTATTGGGGTATCATATAAACCAATTATTACATTAGTTGACATACGGACATAATGTTGACGTCCGCACATCGTTGACAACCTCATCGATTTGGACCTGTAAGTCATCGGTGTCCTACCATCTCAAAAAGGACCAAAACCGGGATCCTCCCATCTCCAATGACTTTTGGTACAAGTAGTAAAATCTAAAGGATCGCCTTGATCGTCAACTTTATATTTACCCAAATTAAACCCATAATAAACCTGTCGCCTGACAGTACAATATTTATTATAATTAAAGTTATTTATCTTTTTATTTGTGCTAAACATCACGTGAATATTACACGTATACTTATGGTGTTTGTATATTTGTATGTGTTGCTTTTGCCGGCAACTCATAATCCAAAGGTTCTAAATTCGTCTGAATTCAGACTTCACAACAGATCCTACGTCCTTGTGGGAATCTGTACATGGTCCTTCGAGCCTTTTAAAACGAACTAGCGGCCTAGATTTGCCATTAAATACCATTTTTTCAAAAATCTTTAAAAACTAAATTTTCCAACAAAATCCATTTATTCAACATCAGCCACAAATACGGCAAAGCCCAACACTGACATGAAGTGAATAAAACAAAAACAATTATTTATTTGTTTTGCAAAGAAATAAATCAATCACAAATATTTGAATAACAATAAAACACCAATTAAAACTCTTCACTATTATTTAATTTGTATTTAATTTTTATTATTTACAATATTCACAGACAGGCATATTGTTTTGTTGCAATAGTGACATACGTTTAAAGAGTAACAGACACCGAGTACTCTTGTTCACATTAATGCGATAGTCCAATTAGTGAACACGTAACATTCGTAAACAACCAACACGCAACAAACGTAACAAACGTAATTAAACGTAACACACGTTAGTGGAAATTGCATTACATTATATTGCATTCCGTTTCTATAATAAAAACAAATAAAAATATTAGCAATAAAATAAAAGGAACCGTAATAAATATAAATACAAATAATACCTAATAATAATAAAATAATAATAAACTTGCTCTCAAAATTTAAAAAATAAATATTTGTTGAGCAAAACTCTATTAAAGCCTATTTTTTTTTAAATTTGAACTTCTCTCTAGTTTTATAATAAAGCAGAAAGTTACCCGAAGGCACAATAGAACCAAATAATATTACAATAAATAATAAATTCTATAAAAATATATAAACATAAAAATATATAAATAATAAAAATTAAATTAAATAAATAATATTAAAACAAATCAAAGAAATTGCAAAAATAATTTGTGCAAGGTTCCACTTCGACATGGAGAATTTATTGGGAGCATTTGCTAAAATATTAGACATGTCCGAAAACGATCTATCAGATTCGCTGATAGAAACAAAATTAGAATCATTAGATGAAGACTGGCATAATGTACGTACTGCCTATGAAAACGTCTATCTTGCCGATGACAAGGCATTCGATGATGATTTTAAAAATGTTGCGAAATTGGAGTTTGAATCGGCACGGGATCAATACCAATTAACTAAATCGAACTCAATGGAAGTTGTGAAAAATAGGTCTCTTCTAAAGTCCATCAGTTCAGGACGAGAAGACCAAACAAATCCTTCACTTTTTCATAGTTCGGCCATGTATCCCCCAACTACCACATTTTACATGTCTGAAGTGTGTATTAAAGTTCCTCCATGTGATACAAAAGACTTCCACGGAAGCTATAAAAAATGGCCCACCTTTAGGGACATGTTTATGGCCATATATGGCAATCACCCAGACTGACACCAGCACAAAAATTATATCACCTAAAAAATAAAACTAAAGGTGAAGCTGGCAGGATCGTAGACAGGTTCTCATTGTCAGATTTAACTTTTCATTAGCATGGGACGCACTAAAGAAACGATACGAAAACAAGCGAGTTTTGGTAGACAACCAATTACGAATTTTATTCGAAATAGCGCCCGCAAAAAACGAAAATAACGCAGGCATAAAAAGGATCCAATTAACAATCAGTGATTGTCTCGCAATTTTGAAAGCACACTACATCAGTGTGGGCGAGTGGGATCCAATTTTAATATACCTTTGTTTGACAAAACTTCCAATAGAAACGTTGACGTTATGGGAGCAGTCACTTGAGCCACATGCGGACTTGCCAAAGTGGTCTAAAATGGAAGATTTTTTGATTAACAGACAACAAGTGTTAGAAGGAATTAGTCGTATAAAAACACAGAACGCTCCACAATCTTCACGATCTTCACGAACACAAATTCAAATAGATGTATTCTATGTACAAAACTGTCCCAGATTTAATAATATGTCAGCTAGTCAGCGAATCGAAGTTGCAAAAGAAAAACGTTTATGCAACAATTGGTTAATCGCTTAGGTATTACGACCAGAAACGAAGATTTCCAAATTAGAGGTTTAAGTGACACAATAGTCACCAATGCAAACCAATCTTGTTGCATTACACTATGTGCAGATGACACTTCTTTTAATCTAGTATCCGAAGTAATAGTACTACGAAATCTTATTAGTCTACTTCCAACTAGGTCTCTTCCAAACTCGTACTGTAGTGAAGTTAAAGATTTAAAACTAGCCGATCCTGGTTTTGTGGTATCAGCGCATGTAGATATGCTGATTGGAAGCGATATCCTTCCAACAAAAATGGCATGAAGAAAAATATTCTTGGTAACATGATAGCACAGAATTCAATTTACGGTTGGTATATATACGGACCAATAGCATACGAAAGTATAGCATTGGCCACAGTCAAAGAATCTTCGAAAAATGAAGAAGACATAGAAGCATTATCACGAAAATTCGGGGAACAAGAGGAAGTCGAACGGGCTCCTATTCCCACCGTATCAAATGAGTACTGCGAAGACTTTTACAAAAAGACGTGCCGTCGACCGGGCGGTAGATTTGGTGTAAAAAAAACCATTTAAAAAAGAATATCCGCAATCTATTTCATTAGAATGATCTTCATTGAATGATATTCTACGTACAGGACCAAAAATTTCGGTTGAACGTTTCTAAATTATACGATAAAGCCAGTCTATCACCACCAATAATCGTAAGAGCCAAGATATTTCTACGAGATATATGGCTAAAAAGAGTTAATTGGATGATTAAAGTCTCATCCACTGTGTCGTATATGTGTTATGGAAAGAGAAATCAATATTTAATAACGGACCATTTGTCGTATGGTCAAAAGACTTTCTGTGTTTTGTTCTATATATATCCTGAGCAATGTCTGGTGTGCTATAGGCAGCATAAGATTATAGCCTGCAGAACGGAGCAGAAGGACAGGGAGTATGCTGTGCGGGTACACAAATACTGCATAAACTGTCTATCCAAAGAGCATTTTGTGCCAAACTGTAATGCAGCTGATAACTGACCACCTGACAACAATCCACCACAACGGCCAAA